TATAACTAACATTTTACAAAAAAAAATTTGTGATCCATGGCCAACAGACTGAGAGTTGACACTGCTTAATAAAAAAGAGTCTCTAAATGTAATTTTTAGTTTTGGAAATTAAGCTTTAAACTGTTTTGTTTTTTCCTGACCACGATCCATTCTCTTGGCACTCAATCCAAAGGTGGGAAATGTGTGGGTATGTCTCTGTGTAACTAGGGATGCGTCCTGGTACTAGCTCTAAAAACCAGTAATATGATGTTGGACAGAAGTGGCATCCCGACACTAGAAAACTTACCTTCGCCTACTAGAATCTTCCGTGTAGCATCTCTGCTGGAAAAGCTCCTGTTCTTTTGTGTAGTGAGCTTTTCATTTCATGAGATAACATTGATACAGGGGGAAGAATCAGCCTGAGAATACTTAATCCTAAAATGTGGGGGCCGCCATACATGGAGTCAGGCTCAGCACGAACATGAACCAATGTGCTGAATACTTCATTTTCTGTTCTTTGTGTCACCCTGCATCCTAGAAAGGTGGGAAAAGGCAATTAGAGTAGGAAATTAACAACGGGGACGCCAGAGATGCAATACTGGAACCAAGACAAGCAGAGAGACAAATGATTCTACTAGTGTGAGGTGTATGGTGTGGGTGAGAAGACCTGCCAATCTCCTGGGGAAAGAGCTCATCACATGCTATTAGACCCTCTAAATCCGTCTTAGCTAAGAGTTGAGTGGAGGGGGATAAAGAACGCAATCAGCCTTACCTATACAACTTTCCAGAAAACCAAATCGTTTCGCAGCTAATTGGTACAAATGTTCCCTTGCCCACTGTTGCAGCTGGAGACACACTTGAACATTTTTATGGCTGTTTGTGTAATTAAATACCATTTACTTTTCCTACCTGAGGAGCGCAGGTCCTGCCGACTCTTTCTTTTAAGTAGATGTAAGATTATGCAAGAGGGAATTATGTACAGATAATTTCCCATATTTGCAGTGTGCGCCTTTATTTGGAAATGAATGAATAGAAACCACTGAGATATCTACTTCTGAACTTCCCCAGCTTCTTGTAACAGTAAATACGAAGAAATGAAAAGCATTGCTGTCACGCTTGGTCTAGTTCTGCCGTCGCGGGTCACCCACCTTTTCCTAAGAACTGTCCGTGTGAGGTCCTCAGAAATAAACCTCGCTGGAAAGCGCCATTAAGGCACGGAGTGTCCGTGGTTCTCTTATTCACCATTGTTTGGAGAGACCAACACAGTTCACAGAGCCTCCTGGCTCCATGAAGGCATTTAGGTGCTATCCTGTGGGACCACTGGGTCTGAAAGACCTCAAATAAATAAATAAACAAACAAACAAACAAAAACAGGGTCCTATAGCTGCATTGTCTGGTATCCACATTTAGCTACTTATTTTTAACTTATTTTTAAATCAGTTAAATTTCGTTCCTCACCCATACCAGCTAGGTTCCAGGTACCTGGTAGCCACACTGAGGAGTGGGAAATGCTGAGGACACCATTGTCACAGGGTCTTAAATTGGTGTGGCCCCGGGACTTTTAAGGGCATCCTTTCTGACCATAGCATATACATAACACAAAAAGCCCCTTCACAAATCTGTTTGATAGTGATAGTCAGATGGCAGTCAGATTGTAAAGCAGTCGGCAGTCAGCTATATGAATTTGTTTGGTTGTGCCAGTTGTTACAGTAGTAACGTAACGGGGTTGACAAAGACTTGGGTTGTAGACCCTTCGCTATCTTCTGATGCTTCAGAGTCATTAACCATTTCCTTAAGGTCTTCAGCCCCTTCTCCAGTCCAAACAAAATTAGTAAGCTAATTATCTTACCCATCCTGATGGTAACAGTGCCTCCAGGAGTGTCGCCCCAACACTGCAGGCCTCAAATTGATGGCCGTGCTTTTGGCTTCATGGTGCCTGACTTTGAGAAGGGACCACTTTCTAAGGGTCATTCTAGAGGTTCCCTTAACACTGGTATGGCCATCAGCCGTATGACAGAACCATCAGCTTCCAAAAGACCTGAAAAATCATCTGTTTCCCCAAGAAACCAACACCTAGAGAGCCACTCAGCTACTCTGTGGCCAACTGAGAAACAAGACACTATCCAGCCCTTATTTATTTATTCGTTCATTTCTTAGCTACCTCTTCCTGTGTCTTTCCTTCTCTGTAAAGTGGAGATTAGAAGTCTTATGCCTGGCAACGCTGCTAATAAAAAACAAGATGACTTTTAGCATTAAATGTATGTCTTATAGTTTTCAAAACCAAAGAAAAATAAGCCACATATATATGTGTGTTCACACATGTACATATCCGTATATATTTTCCACCTCATTTAATTCGAAGAAGAACCTGTGTGAAGAGTTAGGCTCAGAGGCAGAGCCCTTGTCCCACGTAACAAAGCCACTGGCATAGAGGGCTGTGTCTCTCAGGACTTAGGAACCTATGAACTTGTAAATGTACGGTAATACAACCATGTGGCATTGCTGGTTTTTGGCCTGTGGCATTTTGCAGTTCAGGAGTTAGCGATACTGAAAGTTATTGCTTTACTCAAGTGATGCAATTTTTTTTACACTTTGATAATCTGTCAGTTGCACAGACTTCGGTTCAGCATGGGCGGCTTTGAAGTATATTTTTAAAATGAGAGAATCCAGATTTGTAATTAGCTTTGCAAATGCTAGTTGTACAGTCTCAGCGTCTGAAGAGCTTCTGGTAAGTGTTCCTGTTACTAGTGGCAATTTTGTTTTTTTACTCCCTCTCTGGCCCCAAGCAATTAGGAGAAACAAAGTCTGCTGTTTGAGGATCGTCTCATCACTTTGTTTCTTTGTTAATTTGTGGGCTCACAAATTAACTGTGCACCTGATCCTGGCCAAGGAAAAACCTCTAGAAACCATTCCACCCACTTAGACTCCCGGTTGTCAGGAGAATGTCTCCCAAGTTAAAAAGGAAGTCACAGTGAGCAAATAGTCCATTTTTTGATAGAACTTTGTTCTTTGGGCCTTTCTTGTCGTTATAGAACAACTCAGACTTTAATGTAAGACTGCTGGAAGAGATGAATTTAGTTCATCAGAATATAACTGAAAGGGCTCACACCCTGAGTCCTCAAATCTTAGCCATTTTATTGTATGTGCTGGACACAGAAGTAGAGTGTATAGATACTAGAGTAGAGTTCCCTCCCAGGGAAGAGCACCCTAGCCGACAGCCCTGAAGACATGCCTGTAGGTAGCATTAGCCAGACTGAAGGAGTGTGTGTGTGCATATGTGTGCACATATGTATATACACACATACAATAGCATTTAGTGAAAAAAGAGGCCATGAATTTGAAAGTTTTGGAGAGGTATGTGGGAGGAGGTTGGAAGGAGGAAAGAGAAGGGAGAATTGTTATAAATTGTGACTTCAAAAATAAAAAAAAAATAAAATTAATGATTTGCTTTTAGAAAGAAACAAAGAACACTGGCTGTGCCTTTTAAGGACGCAGGTTCAATTTCCAGCACCTAAGATGGCTCACAACCATCTGTAAATCCAGTCTCAGGGGATCTGATACCATCTTTTGGCTTCCACAGGCACTGCATGCAAGTGGGCTACATAGACATACATCCAGACATGTGCTAACATGTGGTACACAGACATACATTCAGGCAAACACCCATTCACATAAAATAAAAATAAATAATATCTCCAAAAACTTAAAAAAAAAACTCATCAGAACACCTTAGACGTTCACATTGCCAACCTGGTATTTGTTTTTCTAGAGAGCCCAGGAATGGTCAGAAACCAAGGCAACCTGAAACTCATATGGCTCTGTTAGGTGTCACTTTCAGAGAAATGGTGAAGACGTGTTTCTGTGGAGTATTAGAGTATTGCAGAGATATTTTAAAGCATGATTTAGTAACTGTATAACACAAGTATAATATTTTCTTTCATAATTAACTAAAAAAGTTATGAAAACAGTCTCCAAGTATGTTTGTGTATCTGAAAAGAATAATGGTCCACAATTCAATTCTAAATTCACAAGGTTTTCAGGGTGGTGTGTGTATGTGTATGCATGCGTGTTTGCATGTGTGTGTGTGTATGTGTGTGTGTGTGCGTGCTTGCGTGTGTGTGTGTGAGTGTGTGTGTGTGTGTGTGTGTGTGCATAAACTTCTTTGGTAGAAAAACTTTGCCTGAATTAATGTAAGATGTTATTTTGTTCCAATTAATGAATCACCCTATGTTTTTGCATAGAAACGTTGAACATGCTTCTCTGTGGGGTGCTTACCTTGGACAGTAAGAGTGGTTACACACTTGTAAGGATAATATCATGGTAGTTGCACCCTGTACTCTCAAATAAAAAATAAATATGAATTGTGTGATTATCCAAGTGCAAGAGTTACCGTGAAGAGGCTATAAGCCTAAGTGACAAAATATCCTTAATAATTTATTGTTCATGGTTACCATTATTCATTTCTTTATACTCTGACCTGTTTTTATGTGATCTACAATAAACATTAACTTATCAGAGAAAATAAATATTTCTAATTTTATGGATGAAAGTCTGATATGAGGATATGAGGTTGGGCTAAAGCCAACCAAATTATACTGATTTGAAAATAAACACATTTGAGGCATCATTGTCAGCCAGGATTCACAAGTTAATCATGTCTTCTAGAATCGCCTCTAGTTAGCACATCCTCTTAGGTCTCTAAACTGGGGTGTTTGGATTTATTGAAGAAAGCCTTCTGAGATGATCCAGGAGATAATAAGATGATTAGAGATTGGCCGCCCCGAGTTGTCTTTGGGTTCAGGAGCCTGCAGGAAGCACCTGGGGAAGAGGTCTTCCGCTTGAGTAGAGCCCAGATATTGGTATCCAGGGCGATTTTGTCGCTCTGCCTATGTGGTTCAGTCGAGAGGCATGCTAGAACCATGGTGGAGTACTGTATTGCTGAAAGAGGAGGAGCTGTTCTGAGGCAGGAGCATTGCCATGTGCAGCATTTACTGTAGTAATGGACTTTCCTTTGGGTCTAGGTGGACGCTCACTGATCTGTCACAAGGTTGCCTCGCTGAGCATTGGGGTCCATGTCTGAATGGATCGCTGTAGCCTTCACATCTCTGCCTCCGCCCCGTTCCCGGCATCCTAAGACTCGAAGGCAGGACAGGACCTGGGGAAATTATATGTAAGTTTTTCCTAAGATTGCTTTTTCTCACCTACACAGGGGTAAGTATGAGGTGACGACACCGGGAACCCACGCACACAAAAATTGCCTTTCTTTTAACAAAGCATCGTGAGAATTGCAAATGAAGCAGGAAACAAGGGCTGGAATCCCTAGAGTCCTGCTTCCTTAGCCTGGTAGTTCTCAAGTGTTAGCTTTCATCACCAGCAGGTCTGAACCAGTAGGTCTGGTGCCAGCCAGCAGTCAGCTTTGCTAACAGTTTCCAAGTGATGTTGGTACAGTTGCTCCAAGGCCCTCGCTTTGAGAATCACTGCTTTGGCTCAAGTGTGTGAGAGGGGTGGATAGTGATGTTAAGAAACAATACATTTTAATATTAAATGCATTAAAATGTAGAATCTGGCTGGGCAGGGGATGGCATGCACCTTTAATCCAGGCACTCAGAGGCAGGGGGATGTCCATTAGTTGGGGCCAGCCTGGTCTACAAAGCAAGTTTCAGGACAGCCTGGGCTACACAGAAAAACCCTGTTCTCGAAAAACAAAATCAAGCAAGCAAACAAACAAATAGAACCTGGGCTTAATGCATTGACGCGTGTCTCAGAAAACAACTTTAGGGCTTGCACGGCAGCTTCAGCTGCAAAGTTCAGCCTAACCACTCGCCAGCTCCCTTCCTATAGTTCTGGCCATTGTTGTCCTTGGGCTTTAGAAGGTCAGAATAATAGTGTGGCTGTTAGCAAGGGCCACAGTCCCTCGTCAGGTGTGTTTGCCGTGTTTGGTAGGTCCAAAGGGAAAGTCCGTCTCCCAGGGTTCGAGAATCTGTTGCTCCCCTCCCTACTACGCTGACATGTAGCTGCCTTTACAAGGGACACATGAAGGGAGGCGCACCTCCAGTAAATAATCCATCAGCAGGGCCCAGCTGTTATGGGTCTCCGAGACCTCAGTACTGGCAGATTTTAAGGTCATCTCCTTACTGTGTTAGCTACCAAAAGGATAACTGCTCACCTGCCAAAGACAAGGACAGTTCACCCAACACTGATTTAAAAAAAAAAAATTTAAAAGTTTGGCTAAGCAAATGCTCACTTGGATACAGTTAAGTATACATACAGATCTATACACATTCTATACACATGCCTGTACACGTGTTTTATGTTTCTAAGTTTTCAATGTAGAATTGTTAAGTGTTTTTCTTTTATTTCATTAAATAACTGTGAATATAAAATTGTAATAATGCTACTGCCCTGTCCAGAAACTATCTGAAGAATTTCTGGAAGTTTTAAATCTGTGGTAATACACTATGATTTATAACATTTTATTTGGGTGTGGCAAGTGTGGTCACTCAAAGTAGCACTTGGGATTTGCAACTCTTTTAATTAGAACACTTAAGAATTGAGAACAGTCACTGTTAATAAAGTAATCGCCACCCAACTGTGTTATGCTAAGTGAAGTCAGCTGGACGTGTTCAGCGTTGGTGCTTATATGAGGTGCCGGGAGTCGTCAAACACACAGTCCAGAAGTAGACTGCTTGCTGTCAACAGTAGGGGCAGAGTTGTGGCGTTTGTGGTTTAGTGGGTCCAGTGTGGGCTGGAAAAGTTGACGTTTTGGTAGTTGACGGTGGTGGTTAGTTGCACAATAATGTCCATGTTCTTAATATCACCAAACTGTCCATTTAAAAATGAATAAAACAGCATTTTAGGTCATATTCTAACACAATCTTAAAAGCAACTAAATAGCAGCGCACACTCTTCCTTTTAAGAAGGCTGGTTCTTGACAGGGAAGCTGAAGCTCCCCAGGGTGCAGGGGCATCTTGCATGACTCTCCCATCCTGCTGTCTTTTGTGTCACCCCCAAACACAGCGAGGGCAGAGTCTCAACCACAGGAATGGAATCCCTGAGGGAAACCATCGCAGGAGCTTGCCATCAACAGTCACAGTCTCTACCAAACTCCACACTGTGTGGCGGAAGTTGCCTTGCTAGGGTGAAAGGAGGTATGTGGTGAGGATGCTCCATTTCCCAGGGAGGTTCCTGCACAAACACAGCCTGGAGCAGTGTCATGGAGCTGTGAGCCTGACTCTTGCTCTTAATGGGTCTTCTTGCTTGGTGGAGGTGACCGCATGAGAGAAACCAGCCAGGGAAGAGAGACCCACCTCCGCCCCAGTCACTGTACTGCTGAGAGGAGCAGGCATTACAGTGCCAGTAAGTCCCAGAAGAGGTCAGGGAGCGACCTACCTGCAGTCCAGTGGGAAGCACGGCTTAGTCCACCCAACTCTGCTCGCTTTTTACCTTGTCTCGTTTCTACAAAACTGGCCTGGAAGGCAGCCAGCAGATTCCCACTGGGACTGGTAGCATATTTTCTTCCAATCTTTGGTTGTCTTTAGACTTTATCCCTGGGACAGGCCATACCTAAGGATCCAAGGACAGATACAGATGGATAATTTTCAGTTTCATTGACAGGAAGTATAAGGGGTGTGAGGGTGGGGGATAAGCGCAGAAACCAGTGTTCTAAATGATTGTATGTCCCCCCTAAGCTATTAAGGCTACTTGTGTGAATGCACACCAATACACATGGAAATTTGGCTTAAAGAAATGGCATGACCAGAATGAAGATTAAACAAAGTCATTGGAATTCAAGGATGACACATACTAACCCATCCCCTCCTCCTCAGGCTAGACTTTCCAAACCTTCTTGGAAATCAAGTCTTTGTTTTACTTAGGCTGTTCAGGCCATGGCAATGCTTCAGAGGCTTTTGGCTCAAATGCTATGGGGGGAAAACAGTAAAACTAAAGTTTACTGTAGGAAGGAAAAACAGGTGTAAGAGAGAAGAAACTAAGGATGAATTCACCTCTGCTATCCTCACGGACCTACAGCAGCTAAATAGGATCTGAGTTTATGAGGATGTAGAATTTAATCAAGATCCATGGACCCCGTGAGTCCAGGTGACAGAATTGCAGTACCTGATGGATTTCCCCGGAAGAGACCCGCAAGCAAGATAATGTGCAGATAAAAGGAAACACGGTAGAAAGACTCAGGGGCTCTGGCCCTCCTGTTCCTTAGAAGTCAGCTGTGCCTGCTTCCCGATGCTGCCGTGTTTCCTGAAGATCCTCTTACCTGAACGGAGAAAACCAGTCCCTGGGTTGGCTAACCTTCCAAGTCCACACTCCAGCCCTTCACACTCCCCATCCTCCCCTCACATCTACTTCCCTTCTTCAGAGATCAAGGCTCAGAAAACAAGACAGCTTTGGTTTTCTGTGAGGGAGGGACTCACCAGAGGGTATCTGCAGCTTCAGCCTCTTCCATGCTGAAATCAGCGAGAGTAGCTGAATGCATTAGAATTAGATCTGGATGTTGCTTTCTAGGGATCTTCACCAGAAAGCAGCTACCCTTGTCGTTAAGCAGAATACCAAAGCAAGCATCTCCTCGTCCTCTGGTACCAAGGTTTCCCTGCACCATCAGAGACTCTAACACATTGGCACAGGATAGAAAACTCCAACATGTACTTTCATAGGCATTCTTGAGAAAACAGCATCTTTTCCAGGATTAAGGGGTAGATTTCTGTGTGTGTTTTAGGAATAATCTATAAGCTCTGACATAATTGCCTTCAAGAGTGATGACACAATTTTGGAGTCAGTTCTGTTGGTTTGTTTTTAGAAAAACGTTTGATTTGATCGTTTACAATAGACTCCGTTCACAATTATAGTCTATTCACGGAACAATCAAAATTAATTTTCATTTTTGCATGCATGCTAATAGTACAAGGGAGTGATGTTGCCAGCATGGGGACATGTGTTAATATACTAATCAAAACCTCCAGAGTCTCCAAAGAAGCTGAGCTGTACTGCACTGTGAAGTTCCCTCCCAAGTAATAGCCCCAGCCACATAAATGCTTTATCAGTTTATTCCAGTAGCCTCCAGCCCGCTGAGTACTAAAGAGGTGACTGAGGGAGCACCTGTCACTAGTGAAATGACACTTCTACTACAACAGGGGAATTCAGGGTTCCCTTTTGTGGGTTCTGAGCTGCATTAATAAAAGAATTTTAAAGTGGACTCAGGGGCAAACACTGTGGCTTAGCAGTTAAAGACGCTTGCCACCACCTGACAGTCTCAGTTTGATCCCTGGAACCCACATGGGGGAAGCAAAGAACTGACTCCTGGAAGTTGTTCTCTGACCTCCACACCTGTACCATGGTACACATTTACACACGCGTGCACACATAGTATATGTGTGTGTGTGTGTGTGTGTGTGTGTATTTTAAAAAACAGACTCAGAAGGAAGCTCAAGGATGATTTTATTAGCGTTTGGGAGAAAAAACACTGGGCAGGCAAGAGGTGAATCTCAGGGGCTTCTGGGAGGAGGACGGTGGAAGACAACAGAGAAATCAATGCCTTTTTAAGATCGTTTTTAAGAGCTGCCATGTTCAGCATCGGCTTTGCATGGCAGCAGGGCACAGGGGAGGTCAGAGAGAATGTCCAAAGCATTCCAAAGACAGCAAGCAGGCTGCCGAGCTAGGGGAAAGCCCCACAGAGCTGGGCCGTAAGGTCCAGGCCCCTGGGTTTCATAACAGCCCCTCCCATATTTGTACATCACAGGCTTTGGTTTTTCCCACATGTTCTCTTTGTTAGATGAAACCCAGACGAGGGGGGCGTCCAGTCTTTCTGTTCCCTCTGGCTTCCTTTATATGTTAACCTGGATGTAGCAGTTCCAACATACACTCTCCTACCAGACCACTGAGCCTTCGTGTTGAGGGCGCGACAGCGGCTTACCCTTCTAGGAACCCCGTTCAGGCATGAGCAGGCCTGGTGTCTGCAGTAGGGTGGCAGGAAATGCAATGAATGGGTATGTTGAGACGTGTTCCTGCCCTTCTGCCCGTAGGACATTGTCTGTGAAATCCTGCACACTAGCGAGGTTATTGAAGCCCTGAGTCATTGGAAGCTCTTGTGTCTAGAAGATGTTTCCCGTATTCCACACCTGATTGACACCAGGTCAGATTATTAAATGAGTCTGATATTTT